CTGGGATATCCCGTAAGTTGGTTTAAAGTACCGTATTTTCGTTTCCTACTCTTCGAGTATAATATTTCTCTCTCTGAGCTAAATCGTCGCACTTGAAGCAAGATTTTGTTGTCGCACTAATGCGTTGCTTAGTTTAATTGTGAAGTCAGAGGACGAGCTATTATGAGAAAGCTAAACAGAATTGGTATTTGGTTTACGACCCCATCTTCCAAATGGTCCCATTGCTGATTAATTTAAAAGGGCGTGGAATATTTGATACATGTCATTACAGATCCCTTGGAAATTTCCTCCACGAAGTCTTAATTGTAAAGGAATGCATTTTCAGAAGTGAATATGCTTTTTAAAAAAAAAGCAGCAAAAACACTGAGTAACAATGAAAGAGCACCGAAATAAGTTTTGGTACATTTTGAAGAATGGTGCTGGTAAACGCATTTCCCGTGAAAACTTAATTTTCATTGAAGGACGTTAACTTCTCATGTAATGTATAATCCGATTTAGGGTCCACTGTGTGAAGCAAGATCTGGACTTGCCGAATCCATTCCGCGAAAATCAAAATAACCTGATGCATCTTTCATCCACGGTGCTAATGAAATTGTCCTGTTCCAGCTGTCAAGTTCCAACCTTGCTTACCGCGCGTCAGGCAGATGTTACTTCCTCCTCAGTCCTGAACTGTACCAAATAGAAATACAAATTCATTTACAGTATATGCCCTAATCTAAGACCAACGAAACATCGTTAAAATCAGGCGATGTCTATGTTATAGTGAGTGCAAAGACTCCGGACATGCGTTAGTTTAGAGGAAAAGTACCCTGCTTTGTGGGAAGCAACTCGTTTTTTTTCTCGTTATCTTCTGTCGGATCTAGTATCTCTCCATTTTTATATAGTACTGTACTTAAATTGCGTACAAAACTACGAATGATTGATTTTTTCCGATTACTAATTTCAGAAATAAGTGAACCGTTGACGAAACAAGAGCTGAACTTCCTGGAGGCCAGAGCATCTCTCTACTGGGGAGAAACTGTTAGGATGATCGAGATGTCCGCTGGTTCAGCACTAACAACGCCTGATTCACTCTTCGGATTAGGGAATTCATCGGGACCAGTTTTGTTCCCGGACCTGAGGTAATACTACCTGCGCGAAAATTTCAGTTTTTTTTTTTTTTAGATTTTTCCAATTTCCTATAATTTTTATCATGAGATTTAAACGGTTGAGTCACTGTGTCCCGTCGTTTTTAAGGAACCCGAAAACGGACGAGATGACCGCTGCTCTGGAAGACGGAAGGTTTTACCTCGCCAAGCAGATGATGAGGGATGGAAAACGCGAAGAAGCCTTGAGAGCTTTCTCTGCTCTTCAAAGTCCGAAAGCAACCTTTGCTCAAGCGAAAGTACTGCTGCTCTGGAAGACGGAAGGTTTTACCTCGCCAAGCAGATGATGAGGGATGGAAAACGCGAAGAAGCCTTGAGAGCTTTCTCTGCTCTTCAAAGTCCGAAAGCAACCTTTGCTCAAGCGAAAGTACGTTTTTCAATCTTGACGTCGTCTTGCGGTGATTTTGAATCGTTTCTTTTTCGCGTACAGATTTACGAAATGTTCGCAAACGAAGCTTCGACTGCTGAAGAGGAATCTGGACTTCTGATGAAAGCGCGTGCTGCAATCAATCAAACGTACGATCGGTTGAATTCTCAGTGTGGAGTTGATGGACTTTCAATGCCTACGAAAGTTTTCAAAGAATTAAATGAGGTTCTTAACATTGCCTTGAGCCGAATTCAAAGCCGTATCAGCACCCTGGAATCGTACGGTACGTACCCAAGAAAAATATTATTCGTTTTTTTCGCTCTTCTGTGTGATCAGCGTGTGATCAGCGCTGTTTTGTTCAATTGAAAAAAATGTTCGTGATGAATTCCTCAAGTCATGGTATGAATGTGTGTGATGAAATTAACGTTCATCATAGTGAACAAAAAATCTACGCCCTTCGAGAATGTTCCATAACCTTCTTGTTTTGCTGTGCTTCCCGTCTATCGAACGGAAGACGCGCTCGAAACCGAATTCTGCAGTGTAGTTACTTATTCATAGGAAGCAAATATGATTTTAGTTTATTTTGTACGATGTGCCAGATAATCCTAGGGTATACAGTATCTTGAAGTAACCCTATCTTTTTTGGGATAACGTGCAGTTTCCTTTTTTTGTTTTTGATCAGATCATTTGCTTCGGTTTTTCTTTCTGCATGTTCATTTTTTTAAATAGCACGTATCACGTTCAAGTGACATCATTGAACAGAGCTTCGCGAAGTGTTGTGATAAAAAGGAAAGTTGTGAAAAGTATTGATTTTACAGTACTGGATATGCTCTTTATGCTCTGTAAGTGACACTTCCGAGATCCATCGTGAGAGAATGAGTGATGTTCGAAGCATGGAAGCGTGATAAGCCATTAACATTTAAAAGCCTCATTTAACCCTTATGCAGTTTTTGACTACTGACAAAGGAGAAATTTGTGTGTGAAGAAGTTGATCACGAAATACGCGTCTGTACATGAAGTGAACGTACCTCTTACTTGAAGTGAAAGGTCCACTACTACACTGTCTACCCACGAACAATTTTAAAGGCGGTATCCTTGTAAATACTGTATTCTGTGCATAAGAATTAGTTTCTAATTCCATGTATCTGTGCCAGTTGTGATTGTGTGAGAATTTAACTTATTGTTTCGTGCGGTAAATGTGTTTAATCGTACTTTCTAAGATAAATTCAATACTTCATTCTTCAGCTGGCAAAGAAGCGCTGAACATTTCGAACGGGCATGATTCGGTACTCGCTGGTATTTCGAACCTTCAATTGGGCACCCCGAGGGTGCGGGACTCAAGAATCTCTGCGTCATCCACTCCGTTTGCAACACCGAAATGTCTCTTCAATGCTTCTGTTACCAGCAATTTTGAGGTTAGATTCGTGCCGCTTGCTTGTAATTGTGCGTCGCATGTCTCGTTGTGGAAAGTTGAGGGAATGAAAAGATTTTGGCTGGAAACTCTTTTCATGAATTTCCCGATTTTACGAGCTATTCCAGGGACGGTAGTGAATGATTCGTCTTTGTATCGTTTCGTTTTGGAATGTGTGTTGGTGCCGTGACAATGTAGGTTCGTCCGAGTCCTGAAAGATTGGACGCCCAAATTAAGAGCATCATGGCTACGCAGGAGCAACTTACAGCCGCCACTAATGAAAGGAATGCGGAGCTAGCTGATGTTTTCAAGGATGTAAGTATTTTTGATCAATTGCATGTCCGTTTATGAGAGTCTTGATGTATGTGTACGCTACATAACTGACTGGAAAAACAATTGAACCTCGGTAGCCCAAACCTATCCAAGTCGAATTACCCCCTGTGTCGAATTTGTTTGAAGCCCCTCTCCGAATTCCATGACGAACAATGCATTAAAAACCTCTCCAATTCTAAGGCTTTACCCCCTGAAAACTGAAAGCCTTTTGGCGTTTATTCAACTGTCACATGAGAGGAAATCAATATGAATGTAACTTGCTGTGTTTTGAAAGGAAGTAAAAGACTAATTCGGCAAATTAACCCTTGACTCCAAGTTCTGCATCCTGTCAACTATTGAAAAGCTATGCAAGCCCCAGAATTTCACCAATTACAATGTCCTGTAATCTGTTTTTTCTTTACCCCCACCAAAAATGCTTGTTTCCCGAATTTGAAATTGTTTTCCGGTCCCTTGGATAGCTTCCACTGTACGACGAATCACTAATCCCAAGGCCGTTTGTTGTGTTGAGATCCTATTCGATAGCTAATTAGCCTTGGAACACTTTTTAACGAACGAGTTGTTTTTTGGTAACTTTCGCGTAATCCAGCGACCGCACGAAAATCCACTAGTAAGTAACGCTTTTTCCGAAGATTTTTCGATCTCTCCTTGATGCCGAAGGGGGTATGTATTATTTGATGGAAACATTTGGTGGAACTAAGGCAAGGAAATTGCGAACTTCCTCACGACTAACTTGTTGAAGGATTTCACGAAGTCTTCCTCTTCTTTTAATGTTGAACTGGGTAATGTAAATTGAATCGAATGCGAGAAAGATTTGGTGTTGTATGATGCTGAAACGTTCAAACAATGTCAAGGTTGGCAACACTGTTGAGCCACGCCCTTACAATTCATGCACACCCATTTCGGAAAAGGGCATTATGTAATTCAAGCAAAATTTTTTTTAGCTCAAGCGTGAAGTGAAAGGAATGAAGATCGCCGTGGAAGCTTTGGTTCCTGCAATGGAACGCCAGCGAGAATCCCACGAGAAATCGCTTGAAGAAATCGTTAAACTTCATGCGACTAAGCTGGAAAATTTCGGGCAAAGGCAGATCCGAATGATGGAGGCGAGTGAAATGATGTAGTACTTCTGCATTTGGCAATCCTTTTTCACTTTCCTATCGTTTTACAGGATATTCAAGATTCCTTCCAGTCTCACGCCCGCAAACTGGAGGACTTCTCGCATAAGCATATTCGTATGATAGAGGTGGGGGAATGCCTTTTTCCCGAACGTCGCAAATTTTAAATCGATTGTTATCAACTTTTTTTTTTTTTTTAAGGAAATAAGCGATGTGATGAAGCACCTGAATTCACACGTACGTGACCTGAAGGACGTTTTAACTGACTTGAAAGCCACGCAACAGCAACAGCTGATGCTTAATCCGTTGGGAGCATTGTACAATCCTGCCGCTATAGCGTCATTCTGTCAAAATCAGCTGGCATCTGAGTTTCTCTTCGGTGAGAGCCTTTTTTACATCAGTTATCAGATAGGGTGCGTCGATTCTTTCACCTTGTTGAGATAACTTATTTTCTGATTTTCACGCGATAGATGAAAATAATCGAAGGTGCGTCTTGAGATTGACGCCGTCTTGGATTCGTGTGAAAACTGCTAGTTCATGGGGTGGTTAATGAATGTGCCCTTATTTCATTAAGAGCAATTCATGAACATTGAAATGTGTCTACCGCTATGAAAAAAATTAAAATTCCAAGCGTAAATCTGCTAAGTCATTTGTGAACTTTTTCTCCGAAAGTTCACTTTTACTTTCACATGGTGTTAATAATGATGCGCACGACGAAATATTTTCCTTGAAAAAACGAAGTAACTTCGGGTTTCTATATTTTAACCTGATCAGGAATTCAGGAGAATGCCTTTCATTCGAAAGTTGCGAGTACAGTACAGTATATCAGTTCAGAAGTGCTGTTTTTGGCCCTCTTTGTTCATTTAATTCACTGTAACATTGTGGAGTAGAATGTGAGGAATCGCCTGCGAACATTCAGTATGAGGAAAAAAAGATGAGCATCGTAAAAATTGTGTTGCCTTATAGTATTCATGTGAATGTGGTCTGAGTGTTTACTGAAGCCTTGCTTTCAACAGTTTCAAGGGTGTAACGTAATAACCTTCATTTTTAGGAATGAGGCAACCAGGAGCTCCAGTTTTGCCGACGGCTGTAGGAGGAATGCATCCTTCCTTCCCGCCTGTGACACTGGCCAGTCCGTTGAATGTTCATCCACCGGCAGTAGTTCCTTCTGCACCTGCTCCAACGCTGCATTTCACCCAGCCGTCAGCGCCTGCACCAAGACCGGCAGACTTCTCGTTGACGAGAATCCCGACTTCTGTGACCAGTGGACCTTGTCCAGTGTCGACGTCTGGCCTGCTTTCCGGCATTCCCGCGCCTTTGTTTTCGGCCGTGACCCCGAAGCATGCAGAGTCTGCTGTGCGGATCACGCCATCTCGAATTTGTGAGTTACTTGAAGAGTATACTGGAAAATATCGTTGCAACTACGTTAACGTCTGGGGACCGAGAAACCTTTTTTTTTGTAATACTGTACTGTGTGGAATAACGCGATTTTCAGAACTAATGACCGGAAATTTTTTTGTTTGCATCAGATCTGCATATAATCCATTATATCTTCATATTTCTGAATTGTCATATTTTTTATTACTGTTTGAAAAAGTGAGTGATCTGAAAAATAGCTCAATCGTTCATTCCGTCAGTTGAACCAATGTCTTCATACTGGGAGGATGATGTGAGGAATCACTGGGAAGCACGTTGATTACAGCTTCCATCCATGCTACAAGAACCGATCAGTCACATTTGGGATTGTAAATTTCAGACTGTGTCTGCCTTAGTCGGGAAATTTCTACCTGAAGAAGTTATTAAATATTGGAAAGACTTAGATGTAACGAGATACTTTTAATTTGGACTCCATAGGCTTTCTGTCAGGACTTGAGAAAAAAAATTTTAGGCTGAAAAATATGTTGTTACGGTATTTTTTGTAATGAGATTTCACCGTAATTGAAACGCGGTTTATGTGGTTAATCCCATTGAGAGGGAAGTCTTTTAGGTCAGATAATTGTATCCGTCGAGTAATATAGAGTTTTTTAGAATACTTGTTTCGTACCAGGCGCCCAAAAATTCTTCAACTGATGATATGGAATTTTCTTTTGTACTAGCTGCAACTGTAGTAAACGAGGAAAATGATTCCGCTTCGGAGCATGGTGAAGAGCACGACCCGATGCCGGACTTCAAACCGATTGTGCCTTTACCCGAGAAAGTGGAACTTTGTACTGGGGAGGAAGGCTGGGAAGTGAGTACTGTACTGTTTATTTTATGCCCTCTTTAAAAGGACATATTCTTGAGCGTTCGTGGCACAATATATAATTATTAAATTCTTTGAATATGGGAATGTCTGATTTCTGCGCGGTCGAAGTTTCCCCTCGTTTCCCACTTTTCAATTCTGGATGTACGATAAAATCTCGTTAAAAGTTTAAAACTAAACGTTTACACTTGGGGAAAAAGCTTTGTTATGAACAAAAATACGTTAAAACGAAATTGAACTATCGGTGGTTATTGGACACGGACTGAGACCAAATTCGCTCTATGTACTACTTCGCTGTAATGTGCTTCGTTGTAACCAGATTCTACTGTAGATCAGGTCAGATAATTGGAATTGGGTTTCTAGATTGTTTTCCTTTTTTATTTCATTTAGAAAGCATTGTACCATACGTCGTTGGAACCGTTTTTCCACTTTCCATCGGGGCGTAAATCAGAATCAATTGGATAAATAAAAAGTAGAAAGGAGGTTTGAAACACTGGCACTGCGTTTTCTCGAAAGTTTGATAACTGTCCCACTTGAAAACTGGATTCTGCGTAAAACAAGACTTTGTTTCTTCGGTTTTTATTTTATGATTTAACAAAATGAAAATATTGATGGCTGAAAGTATGAATTGTTTTTTTGAGCAGTATCGCAAGAGTAAAAAATTGAAAATAAACACGGACGGAGGCACTTGCAAAAGTATATCTAGGTCATTTTTAAGTTACGAAAATATTTTCCCTTCAACTTTTCAGGCGTTGTTCGAAGAACGCTCGAAGTTGCTCCGCTACGTGAATGGTGAATGGAAAGAGCGTGGAGTCGGTGTGATGAAAATACTTCAGGATTCTAAAGACAATCGGCGGCGAAGAATTGTCATGCGTCGTGAACCGATAATGAAAGTATGCTGCAACCACGTGATTGCCGCTGACATGAAGTTCGACGTGTTCCCGAAAAAAAGTGATTACATTACGTGGGCTGCGAGGGATTTCTCTGAAGACGATGTCCCAGAAGGCGTGGATGAAAAATTTACCGCGAAATTCAAGACAAAAGAAATTGCCGAACGGTTCTTGACTGTTGCTGCGGAATCAGTCGCCAAACTCGGTTCGAAACCCGTCGACAATTCTTTCAAGATCGGCGGATTGACGTTTACTAGCAAACCGAAAGTGATCGAAACTCCGGAAGTCGCACGCAGTCCGGAAAAGGTTGACGAGCCTCCAAAAACTGCTGCAAATGTGTTTTCGGGCTTCAGCTTTCTTGGAACCGTTTCCAAGTCCACGTTTGCGAACTTGTCGAAGGACACTAGTGTCACAACGACAGTGTCGCCGTCGACTTTCGGTTCATCGCTCGGCTCAGCGCCTACGTTTGGTTCACTTGCAACGAAAACGCCTCTTTTCGGTTCGGCTGACGCAAACCTTCCGACATTTGCTTCGCTTGCGACCAAATCGCCCTTTGGAGGCTCTGTTTCTTCCTCCAAAGATTTTCCTGGTGCAGGACTCCCTGTTTTTGGGGGGTTTTCAACTGAGAAGGAATCTCGGTCGCCCTCGAAAGGTGACGGTGAGCCCGAGGAATACGAACCTGATGTGACCTTCAAACCGGTGGTCCCGCTTCCACCGCTTGTGGAAGTCAAGACTGGTAAGCAAAATGTCGTTGTGACGAAGCCGTTGGGATCGGAAAAAGAACTTAGTTCTACAGTAAAAAAAATTCTTTGTAAAGTGATTCGAATAATGTTGTGGCTATCGGGCAGGGATATGAAAAATGAATTCGTTGCCAGCAAACATTTTTGTTGTTGCGAGATATAGTGTACATGTACAGTACTGTATCTTGAATTCCTGATAATTGTAGGACAGGTGATTTGTCTTCCAAATTTTTTTTCTTAGCATAAAAACGTTTGTCTACTCAAAGTTTTTTCCTGATCAGTGCAACATTTTCAAAAATCCTGTGTTTACACAATTACCACGTGCCATATAATACGATTTTTTCCTTGGAAAAATTGTGAGAAATGTATTTTGAAACCCTCTTTCCCATCTACACTCAATTTTAACGCGCATCCACTGTTGAAATTCCCGTTGGAAATTTTTGAGAGAAGAATTAACGCGATATTCGAGTAAACCAGGTGCGTTCAATGGATGGATGGATTTTTAATCAATTTTTCCAATTAAATTTGTTCATGAGACTTGTTCGCAGTTTACCCTGAGAAAATGGATATCTGCTGAAAACGGGGTTGAGATAATTGTCCAGTCAAATTTTTCCAGTGAACCTAATCAATTCGTAGTTATTTAGTAGAGGAGTGTAAAAAAATTGGAATTATTAATTGTGGGTAAAAAATTGAGATTAATCAATTTTTTCCGTCCTCTGAAGGCTGACCAAAATCATCATCACTTGACCTACACTAACTAACGGTGCAGCTTCTGGATTTTCTCCATTTTTCTAGAATAATACTTACATGCATATTAATGATGTATGTTACCATGAATGAATTTTTCAGGCGAGGAAAATGAAGAAGAGATTTTCAAAGAGCGTGCGAAATTGTTACGATTTGATTCAACAACCAAGGAGTGGAAAGAACGTGGTCTTGGGGACATAAAGATCCTGAAGAACAAAGAAACAGGACGCAAACGGGTTCTTATGCGCCGTGAACAGGTTTGCTATTCAATTTTTCTGTTCTGTTCGAACCTTGGGAAATTTGAAGCTGTTTTTCTGAATTAAATTTGTTTGTCGTACTGTACCAAGAAAGGGAGGTTCGATACGTCAATTATGCTGAACCCTTTTCATGGAATTAGTGCAGGACATGTACAGTACAGAACTGTATCAAAATCGTTCGACGCGTCCGTGACCTCATGCCATTCAAGTCATGAAAATTTGATCTTCATTTCAGGTTTTGAAAATATGCGCCAATTTTGCGATCGGTGTGGATATGAACGTCGAGTTTCACAATAACTCGGATAAGCAACTTTACGTCCTTGTTCCCGCGGATCTTTCTGAACCCGATGAAGGGCCGAAGTCTGAAAGCTTCATAATCCGCTTCAAGCTGCCGGAAAGAGCCCAGGAATTCCGTCGTCTTTTCAACGAAAAATCATCGAACAAAGCTGTGGAAAAAGCTGTTGAGCAGAAAGGCGCTCTGAGCACGCTGCTGCAGTTCAAACCGAAAGCCGGCTCTTGGTCATGTCAATCCTGTTACGTCGTGAACGACGAAAAAGTTGTGAAATGTGTTGCTTGCGAAGCTGTTCGTGCAGAATCCGAATCCCAAGCACCAAGAGAAGAACCGAAAGCTCTGGCTACTGAGGCAGGACCTAAGCAAGATTCGCTTTCATCCATGGATAAATTCAAGCCTAAGCCTGGCTCTTGGGAATGCGATGGGTGTTTGGTTCGCAATAATGAGAACGTCAACGTGTGCGTCGCCTGCGAACAGCCTCGTCCGGGGTTCGAGCCGCCGAAGAAGGAAACCGAAGCTAATGTTTTCTCATTTGGAACCAAGTCTGGTTCCGGCGGTGGTGGCGGCTTCACGTTCGGAACGACGCCAGCCAAAACGGATACTGTTTTCAACCCTCCGAAGACTGGGTTCGCTTTTGGCAGTGCGAGTGAAAATCCAAGCTTCTCCTTCAGTTTCGAGCCCAACAAAACTTACTTCACTATTGGTAGTAGCAAAAAAGCTGAAGTTGTGAAGGGAAGTGAAGGCGACGATTCCGCGTTGAAACCGCAAGACACTATGACTTCGGCTACGTCGTGGTCATCGCTGTGCGAAGAGAAGCGTATGGATGTTCGTGCAGTGGAAACTCTGAACAAGGGTGAAGGATTCTCCTTTGACCTTAACACCCCAATAAAGGGAACTCCTGAAAAGAAGGCTGGTGAAGGAACTCCTTCAACCAGTTTCCAGTTCACGCTTCCGACGAGCAACAGGTCTGTTTCACTCACTCAACAAACTTTTAAACGTGAAATTTAACCAATCATGTTTTTTTAAAGCTGAGTAATGTAATTTTTGTTGGCATTTTAATCCCCCGAAACAAATGATCAGCATTTTTTGCTGACTAAATATATAAATCATGCGTTCTGATGATACAGTTGCGAAAAATAAATGGGAATCAATTGTATTTTTTTCTAGAGCTAGACGAACTTCGTCAGGCGAGAAAAATATTGCTTCCCCAAGGAAGTCTTCTGGAGGTGAAGATGGGGACGCTTATGTTTCAGAAGATGAAGGCGAAGGAATTTATTTCAAGGTGAGTTCTTACATTCTGAACAGGTTTTCTCACTGGGAGTTATTCAGAAGTTCGACGGGTATCCAAGTTTCTGAGTGCAAACCAATTCGATCGATTGAAACACTTCAATCAAGCCTTTGTGCACGTCCGAATGGATTTTTGCAACATCGTTTAAAAATTCGAGGAATTCGTCAGTTGAATACTGTACTGTATTTATAAGTGACGGTCTTTGAAATTTTTTTGTAGCACTTTGACTGCATACAAAATCATGAAAACGTGGAAGTGTCCTGTATCTAGTGACCCCTGTTTTCTCCATTTCAATTTATGTCAGCTACAAGTGCAACTTGGTTCAATGTCGTTTTTATAAAATTTATGTCCTTCAATCCAGAAAAATTTACAAAACATGAAGGTCTAGTAAGTTAGAGAGTCAAGAGCCTAGACTGACACAAATTTGAACAAATCACGAGTCCGCGTACTATATTTGGAAAACACGTGACTTCAAACTATTCGAAAATATTTTTAGCCTGTCATACCGCTTCCTCCGCTGGTCGAAGTAACTTCGGGAGAAGAGGACGAAGAAGTTCTGTACGTTCATCGTGCCAAGTTGTACAGATTTTCGGCCGCGGACAAAGAATGGAAGGAACGAGGTCTTGGAGATGTTAAAGTGTTGAAAAACCGTTCGACGTCCCATTGTCGCATCTTGATGAGGAGGGAACAAGTTTTGAAGCTCTGCCTCAACCATTATTTGACGCCGGACATCACATTCTCGGCATTCGCGAGCAATGACGTCAGAAGTTGGACATGGCTTGCCAAGGATTTCTCGGAAGATGAGCCAGAGGTGCACAAGTTCGCATTGAGGTTCAAAAACAAGGAGATTGCCGAAGAGTTTTTGGATTCCGTCAAGAAAGCCCAGGAAATCATGAAAACGGCTTGTGAAAAGAGAGAAACGTTACCGGCTGGAGAAGAGAAGACCCAGAAGTCTGGCACTGGTGAGAAGTTGATTCACAGTTATCGCGTACAGTACTTAAGAAGTTTCTCGAATGAATAAATACCGTACTCTTGATTATTCCTTAGTGTTTTCTTTCGACTTGACGGAAAACGAATCACTTGTATCATCCGTTTCTGTATTCCAGATGACGAAGTGACGGTTGTCTTCGAAAAGAAATTGCCGGAAAATTTGATTCAACGAGCTGTAAGACTCAAGCTGCCTTCGAACTTCTTCGATTACGAGAACAAGACCCCGTGTCCCGGCTGTAGAGGTTGTGACGATGACTGGGATTGGAGAACTGGTAAGAGTGCTAAATTTATGGATGTTCATGTCGATTCATTTTTGCATCCTGTCGCTTGAATTTCATCAGGAACTTCATCCAAAAGCCAAACCCGAATACTGATGCCGGTTTCGGTGATCAGACAATTATCTTTTTCCTTACGATGCTACTAACTTTCTTGTAGGCACCAGTTTTAAAATCTAATCTGAGAAAGTACGGAAGAAGCGCAAAAAAACAGTGCTTGTCAGTACAGTGGGGGTCTTGCTTAACAAACGCCCTTGTTAACGAACTACTTGGATAACATAATTTGCATTTTGGCCTTTGCTGCTTTGGATAACGAACTGTGACTTGGTTTAAAAACTCTGATTTCAAAGGCAGGCCTCCCAAAATGCCCACCCCTTAGGTCTGAAATTGCACAATATATTTCCCAGTAAATATTTCTTGCTCTGCTTATTATGATTGAGGTTTTAATTTTAAAAAATGAAATTGTTCTTGGATGATTTTGACTTTCATTTCAACATTTCTGTTGTATTTTTGCATATTTGTTCCTTGATTGTTCTCTCAATTTACTTTAAATCGAAGAAAATTGGGCCTAGGGCTGGAAGGAGTGTACCGAAATGCAAAGTGATTGCATGGGTTGAGAGGTTTGACTAAGAGGCCCAAATACATTTACTGAATTAATTGTTGTGTAGAAAGTGTTGAAATTCACCTGCCCTCTCTGGCATCCTTCTTATGCTCCTGTCTCCTTCAACACTTCTTCGAGCTTCTCTTCCAATTTTTTCAATAAAAGTTCTTGGGTATCACATTTGTGGAACCAATTATAATTATTTGTGTACTTTCTGAAGGAAAAATGTGATTTGGTTAACAAACTTTGTTCAGGAATGGATTAAGCTTGTGAATCAAGACCCTGCTGTATTGTGCCAAGATTTTCTTTCTTGCAGTCCTCCCTTACGACGCAAATTTAAGAATTACATCTTTATATCTCCTAATCATTGCATTCACCTTTTCGGATGTCTAGTGGCCTGTGAATCGCACTTTTGAGTCCGATGTCGATTTAAAATCACGCAACCAGCTTTCAAATAGAAATTGGTCGATTCATTGATGCCAGTGTGCGTTAGGGTTTGACTGTATGCTGGCGACTTTATGAATTCAATTGATGCAAAATCTGAAGGAGCTGTTCGTTTATTATAACTTTCAACGTTTGTATCCTATTGCTTGAATTTCATCAGGAACTTCATCCGAAAGGAAAGGGCCAGTCCTGAAAACCGATGCCGGTTTTGGTGACCAAACAAAGAAACAAGATGCTGCTCCCTTGTTTGGTGCTGTGTCGACAGAATTGCAATCAGCCAGTGCCCCCGTGTTCGGAGGTTTTTCTGCCGCAGTAAAACCTCCTGTTCACGGCGAACCGGTATTTGGTAAACTTGGGGCATTCGGATCAGATACAATTACCACTCCAAGCGTTGCCACCGTGTCCTCGGCATTCGGGGGCTTCGGTAGTTTCGGAGGTGTTGGTGGCATGACTTTCAGTGATCTTGCGAAACAGTCTGGGGGTTTTGGCACTGCATTCGGTGGAAGTAAAGAACCGGCGGAAGGTGGAGGAGAGTTTTCATCGTTCACTAGTTTTAGCGGGAAAGGCTTTTTCCCTGGAGCGGGTGAAGTTATGCGAGGTTTCAGCAATGGGCAACCTACTGGAGACGAAGGATCGGAGGGCGACAACTATGATCCACATTATGAGCCGATTGTCCCGTTGCCACCGGTTGTTCAGTTGAAAACTGGGGAGGAAGATGAAGAAAACATCTATTCACACAGGTAATCAGTTGTGATAAGAACATTTTAAAAATCTTCCCCCTTATGCGGAAGTTGCTCATTCATTACTATTCTTTTTTTCCTTTTTAGCGATGATGAAAAATTTGTCACATTCGCACAGTTAACCCATGATGTGAAGAGCAATTTTGAAAAAAACCTCGCTCAAGTATATTAGTCTTTTCATGGGTTTTTGTCACGTTTTTAGTATCTGGCCCTCCGTCATATTTTGTTTCACAATGCTCTTTATTGCTTGTGAAAATTTCAATTCAAAGGTTTTAAAAAAACCTCGCTCAAGTATATTAGTCTTTTCATGGGTTTTTGTCACGTTTTTAGTATCTGGCCCTCCGTCATATTTTGTTTCACAATGCTCTTTATTGCTTGTGAAAATTTCAATTCAAAGGTTTTGAAAGTCAGGAAAATTCGTTTCTCTCGTTATTCATTTATTTCGTCCTTAGAGACTGAGTATTATAACGATTCTCAGAAGTGAAAAATTTAAGCTGATGTTGTTGGGGACCCACTGCCGCCAGTGTGATGAGGGCCTCATTAATTGAGGTTGGGGTAAATGGGGTGGATCACATGGGTAATGCCAGTTATTTACACTCCCTTTGATGTGCTGTGTTGCCTTTCCCGCGCAGTTCCAACTTACCCTCCTCCTGTTTTTCCCTGTTTCATTCTTTGTGTTTGGGGGACTGTTTTCTGGAACTGGGGTGGGGGATAAAAAAATGCCCAACAGAAGTATAATGATTTTGTGATGTTAATACTGTAGTATTTTAGTTTCCTTGAGGTTATTTTTGTGTAGGTTAGGTTTTAAGTTAGATTAGCTTTTAGGTTAGGTTAGGATAGTTAGGTTAGGTTAGTAAGGTTAGGTTGGGTTAGATTAATTTAGTTCAAATTATTTTAGATTATCATTAAATAAAGAGGAGGAATAAACATAATGAAGTTTATATGAGGGTACATTTGGCATATGCAAGAGAGAAAATTCTCATGTCCCATGCAAGTTCAAAATGAAATCCAGGGATGGGGGGACGCCCTGGGAAACCGGTTTATGGGGGTAATTGCAAGTGTAAATGATTCGCCTGATCCAAATATCACCCAAGGACAAAAAAATTGGTGCATGGGAGAGCCCCAGAAAAACCAGAAAAACTTCCAGAACTTTTGTTCTCTGAGTTCCTGCCCCTAGAGTTGTCTTTGACTTGGATTTTCCTAGCCAATCCCAGGCCTAAAAAAATTGACTGACCTTCAGCCGGAGTGCTGGATCAAGGCCTTTAGCAATAATTGATATAAACCCCCTTTTCCCCAATTTTATCATCAGTTTGAGCCTAGCTGTTGTGTGGTGACTGGTGAACACAGTGTTACAAATTTGAGCTTGCTGAGAGGTTTTTGCTGTTAATCAAATAGTTTGTGAGTTGTTCAAATCTTTTCTGTTGTATGGGACAATAATCTGAAATACAGTTTAAAGTTAAAGTTGGGATTTTACCAGGAATCCCAGCATTGTCCCAGGCTGATTCTGTGTTTCTATTTCTAATTTTCTTAATCCACAGCTTCTTTCTCTTCTCTTGTGTTGTGGTGACTGTTGTCCCCAACATATGCTTTAATTTTGGGATAGAATTTCAGAATTTCATTGGAAATTGTATCTTTAGACTGATCAAGGAAGTTGTGTTTCTCCTATGTAACTGAACAGGTTGAAAATATAATTTTCACGAAAATGAAAGCCATGAACTTCATAATTTTTGGCTCTCCCATATCAAATGGGCGTGATAATAATCTACATGAAAATGAGATATGTAAGATTTGTACGACACTTGCAAGCCCGTGGTGTTACCGTCTTTCTGAAGCCAATTAGCTTTTCAGCCTTCATAGCTATTGAGATGGTGTCTGGTATTTTGAACGTAAATTTATCCCTACTTTGCTGTATTCTTCAGAACGTGCTCATTTTCCATATTCATTGTAACCATAATAGTGAGGATAAAAATCAATCTCAATAATGTAGTATACATTGAAAAGTATAGAGCAGACATGATTAAAAAACAATCACAGAATTGTATTTACAGTACTTGTGCAGTACCGTACAGTACTTGATTTCAGCCTAATTTTTAGAGCAGCTATCATTAAAAAACAATCACGGAATTGTACTTACTTGTACAGTACAGTACAGTACAGTACAGTACTTGATTTCAGCCTAATTTTTTTGCATAAATTCCTTTTAGAAGTATGCTTGTTTGCGAATTGGTGAAACTTGTCTGGCGGACTTTCATATTTTAGAATTTTAACGATTGAGAAGCCATGTAGAATGTGTTGTTATTGGGAATTTTTTCAGGGCCAAGCTATACCGTGTTAAAGTTGGGATTTTACCAGGAATCCCAGCATTGTCCCAGGCTGATTCTGTGTTTCTATTTCTAATTTTCTTAATCCACAGCTTCTTTCTCTTCTCTTGTGTTGTGGTGACTGTTGTCCCCAACATATGCTTTAATTTTGGGATAGAATTTCAGAATTTCATTGGAAATTGTTTGTATCTTTAGACTGATCAAGGAAGTTGTGTTTCTCCTATGTAACTGAACAGGTTGAAAATATAATTTTCACAAAAATGAAAGCCATGAACTTCATAATTTTTGGCTCTCCCATATCAAATGGGCGTGATAATAATCTACATGAAAATGAGATATGTAAGATTTGTACAACACTTGCAAGCCTGTGGTGTTACCGTCTTTCTGAAGCCAATTAGCTTTTCAGCCTTCATAGTTATTGAGATGGTGTCTGGTATTTTGAACGTAAATTTATCCCTACTTCGCTGTATTCTTCAGAACGTGCTCATTTTCCATATTCATTGTAACCATAATAGTGAGGATAAAAATCAATCTTAATAATGTAGTATACATTGAAAAGTATAGAGCAGATATGATTTTAAAAAATCACAGAATTGTATTTACAGTACTTGTGCAGTACCTGATTTCAGCCTAATTTTTAGAGCAGCTATCATTAAAAAGCGATCACGGGATTGTACTTACTTGTACAGTACAGTACAGTACAGTATTTGATTTCAGCCTAATTGTTTTGCATAAATTCCTTTCTCTTCATACGAACAAACGCTTAACCACTTTGAACAGACCGCCTGAAAGTATAAAATCTTAAAATTGCTAACTCTTCGGTACATCTTACACAACAATAACCCTTAAAAAAGTCCCGGTTCGATATGGCCTATGCAACAGAAAGCAAGGAATGGAAAGAACGGGGCGTGGGAGACGTAAAAATCCTGAAGCATCCGACGACTGGGAAATTCCGTGTTCTCATGCGCCGGGAAGTGGTTCTGAAAATTGCCTGTAACTTCTTCCTTCTCCCCGATATGTGTCTGGAGAAAATGTCGAATTCGGCGAATTCCTGGGCGTTTTCTGCCATGGATTATGACGAGGATGAAGGCTACAAAGAGGAGAAATTCGCTTTGAGATTCAAGGTTCGGAACAACTGTTCATGTGTTGATGTCGGATTGAAAATACTTCCATCGCTTATTGCAGACGCAAGAAATTGCTGACGAATTCAAAGACGTTTGGGATAAATGCAGAGAAGAAGCGAAGAACCTTGACAATTCTGTGAACGCTTCAGCGACCGAAGAAGATGAAGAGAACGACGAGGTCGAAGAAGAATGCATAAGGGTTCTGGAAACGAGGGTATTGCTCGCTGATCCTCCCAAGTCACAACCCAAAGTTAGTGCGATAATCAGACAATTTATTCATTTTCTTTACATCTTCAAATGCGAATTTATCTTCCAGGATCAAGGAGAATGTACAGTGACTTTCATGTTTGATGAAGAATATGGTTGCCGAGTGTTGATCAAGCGTCTCGCGGACAAGGAGATTATTGCAGATTTAGTGATATCCCAAGATACAGAATACGAGGTCAGTTTTTTTTTTTTATATTTGCGCGGGGTGAAAATGCTCTTTTGATCTTTATTCTTCAAATTCTTGTGGTCAACAAGAGCCTTTGATAACTCGATGTACCGCTAAGTGCTCTGCGACCTGAGTCTTCATACTCATGTCATAAAAGCCTTTCTTGTTTAGCAGGGCTTTAAAAGAAGTTTTCTTCTCTGCCGTCAATATATCGAGGGATAAAACATCCTAACATCAATCTTGCCAGAATGGTTGTTCAAATACCTCGGAGTAGAGAGAACTCTTTATCCTCTCCTGAGCAAACAAAGGCGTGATTCATTCGTTGGTAATCGAAAGCAAGATTACAATATTTTCCCTGATGCCACGAATTGTTCTAACGTATTTCTCGACAGAGGCAGACAATTATACTTTTTCTTTCGGATTCCACTAATTTTATTTTATGAGCCAGTTCTGAAATGTAATCTAAGGAAAGATGAAAGAAGCGCAAAAAATAATGCTTGTCTGTATTGTGCCGGCATTGTTTTTTTTCTTACTTGCCTCCCTTATGATGAACATTTAAGGGTTACATTTTTATATCTCCTGATCATTCAATTCACCTTTTTGTTGGCCTAGAAGCGTCTAAATTGCAGTGTTGAGTTTGAAGTGGATTCAACTTCACGTATTCAATTTTTAAATATGCTGTAGATCAGCGTTTTCAACTATGCCATTGTTTGATGCCGAAAACCTTTGAATGAGATTAGTTTGGAGTGCATAGAATTCAGTTGATGCCATACATGAGAGAGCTGTTGGTTCTAATTCTAACCAGAAACTGGTCTCTTTTGTAACAGACAACAGATGAAGATTTCACATGGGTCGGAGGAAATTACGCCATAGACGAGAGTGGCGAGCATGTGACTGAGATAATACTGAAGCTTGGCAAGAAGTCGGAGGTAGATCAAGTTGCTCAACTCTTCGATGACTACAAAACAATGGCTCTCGATGGCGGTAAGTGAACTTTTGGAGCTGTAAAGCCTATTTTTCTCTGGTTGTGTTGCCTACTGTTGAAAAGATGCGGGAAGGAAATCGATTAGGCACACGTTCCGATCATGTGACCCTGCTCTTTCAGCTGTTTTGGAAGACATTTTCAGGTCAGAATAATGCATAGTTATTGTTTTTCCTGACCACGAATATAAATCTGGTTGCGAAGCATAGAAATCCTTTTGACCGAAATGACACTAATTTGATGCAAAATTAAAAAAAATATTTTTTCGCAGAATTTGAAGATGATGACGAGGATGATGAGGACGATGAAGACGATAATGCTGCGGAGTAACATCCGATCGTTCCCTGTCCCCAGACTAGCGATCGTGTCTACCGGATTATACCTTGGTTCTTCTTTTCATCTTTTGCATGAGTGGAAATTTTTTGAAAGTGATGATTTTTAGCAAGCATTTTTCGCATTTTTTTGGGTTTGAGGTCAGGTGTGAGTGTGTGCGTGCTTTTTGATGACCTGTTCTGTCAAGTCTGGGTAACCGCGCCAAGTTTGGGGAAAATGCATCTCGATCCGATGAATACATTTGCCCTTTTATTTTTCTAAAATTTTCTGTGTTGCAAGGTTTAATTTTGGTTTTTTTTTTCGACAGGACATCAATTATTTTCCACTCAATCTGTGAAAGTAGTGCGTCAGAACCCATATTCAGCCTTTCTGTCATCACCCCTGTTTGATTTTCCTCGCATGTGAATGAGAGACGCCGCATAATCGAGGTGATTTTGGGAGCTTTTTTTTAAATGAAGATTTGAAAGACAGCTTTGGTTTTTTCAGATGGCCCAAGAATTGAACTACTTGGAGCTGTTCGGGATGATCAGGAGTGGAACGGTAGTCCAACAATTTACGAGGGCTGAAATCAATGGCGGGCAGTATGCTGTTGAAGTGGAAGGAGAGGTGAAGTTGGAAGATTCTGGCCCGTATCAAAACGTCGAAAATCCCGACTATAAAGTCTCGAAAGGACTTGACTATGTCACGCGGCACATGGACGAATTACGAAGAATGCCGTCACTTCATTCAGAATCGGTCGACTTCTCCCCAACATCAGAATTTAATCAACTGTGTCGGAATTTGTACAACCAAACCATGATGGCCAAACAGGATCCAGATCTGCAAGCGTCTATGTCCAGACTACCAATTTGGGAAGTCGAGGAAGAACTCGTGAGGAAGATCAGAAAGGTTCCTGTGATGCTGCTGTACGGGAAAACTGGTTGTGGAAAATCCACCTTGGTTCCTCAGTTCATCTTGGACGACTGCATGCTTCGCGATGTTCCATGCAGGATTTTCGTCACCCAGCCCAGAAGAATGGCTTGTATGACGCTTGCAGAACACGTTTGTCGCTGTCGTGGTTGGCCATTAGGTAAAATGGTGGGATATCAGGTTGGCGGTGACAAAAGCAACATTTCTGATGAGAGCTTGATCCGGTTTGTTACTCCGGGGTTGCTGTTGAGGCAGATCAAGCACTTCAAATCTCCAGAGGTGAGACGAATTCCTTGTAAGGTTTCTCTTGTTTCGCCGTTCTTGCGCTTTTTTTCTTCAAAACATTTTTGAAGATGAACATTTATTTGACTGCTTTTGCAATTTTTACTCAGAACGGGTGAAAATGAAAGAATGCATGGAGTTGAAATGTGCACACAAAAGCCATTCGTTGGACGCTAATTCTTATTTTTTTAGAAGCAGAAGTAAAATCTATTTTTGTTATTGTTTACCCACAGATCCGTCAGATGACTCACATAATCGTGGATGAAGTCCATGAACGCACCGCTGATGTTGAATTACTGCTGATATTACTTCGTCGACTTCTTGCCGTGAACAAGAATTTGCGTCTGATTTTGATGTCCGCAACATTCGACCAGAAGAAGTTTGAAGATTACTTCGGCTGCGATGTTTTCCGATGTGATAGAGCACTTGAACTTCCCTCGATGCGAGTAAATGTGGAAATGTTCGAGGTTGAGGAATTTTGGCTCGGATCCTTCGTCAAAGATCCTGAATTTCAGCATTTGAAGTATGTCTTCTGTCAACTTGGGTAAATTGAATATAAAAGACCTCGGTCTTGTTTTTTTCTTAGGGAACTCTACAAGGAAGAATTTGGTGCCGATTTCGACAAGAATGATGCCATTCTATATAATTGGGTGGTTGATTGCGCATTGACAATAATTGCGCGTTTCAAGTTGACGAATGATGCTGAAAGCATCGTAAGTGATGAAGAACGTGCACGAGGATCAGTTTTGGTCTTCCTACCGGGTTATTCAGACATTGAAACCTTTTGCCTGCTATTGGGGAAAATGGATCCTTCTAGAAACAAGTGAGATCATTGGTTCTTCTTGACTGACTTCGAGTAATCCTTCTTTTGAATTGATTTACAATTTGTGAATTCCAGGTGGACAATCGTTCCGGTCCATTCAAAATTGAAACAGGAAGCAGAAAGAACTATTTTTGCTCCCCCAATGCCTGGTTACAGGAAAATCATCGTCTCCACGAACATTGCCGAGTCGTCCATTACCATTCCGGATGTCAAATACATTATCGATTTTGGACTTACCAAGCGGAGTAGCGTTGACAAAGTTTCCAACTTGTCATTTTTGAAACTCGTTTGGTGCTCTCAAGCCGAAATCAAGCAACGACGAGGACGTGCTGGACGTGTTCAACGTGGGAAGGTTTGTAATTGATTCAGCATTTCGTAAAATTTGAAAAATAGATACCTATTCAAAGTTTTTAATTGCTATTCTTGTATATGCTGATTTATCTAAAAAATACTTTTCATTTTAGGTGTACCACATGATCCCACTGGAATTGTTCCATGATCTTCCTGAAGAGCCACCACCGGAAATCACTACAACTCCATTGACTCGACTCACACTCATGGCTAAGTCAATGAGCATTTGTCACGGAGCAATCCAAAATGGCATCCAGAAATATTTATCTCCGAAGCAAATTTTTGCTGAAGCCCTCACTTCTCCTGAAGAACAGGACATCGACTTGTCCATCTTGACTTTGAAGGTGAGTAAAATAGTTTGAATCGGAATAAATTCTAAAATCTTTCTGACGATTGGGTCGGGTCTTTTATTAATTTCAGATTCGAAATATGTTCTAGAACCTAGATCAGTGCCGCCCAATTCAGATGTGGCCAAGGGCCACAATACACAATGATCTTGAGGTTTCAACGTTTTCCCTTCGAATGAAAAGTTTCAAATTTACTTCAGTGCTTTGTATTTAATCGCAAGCATAGCCTTATACAATTTTTGAAGGGTGGAACACAGTTTTGAATTTTTAAATTAATCTTTCTATTCATATTTTGAACAATGGTGGTTGTCACCTTGAAAATCATGAGGGACTGCGAGATGGGTGAAATTTCTCTGTTGGCCAAATCTGGCCCGCGGGCCGTATGTTGGGCAGCACTGTTCTAGATCTGTGTGTTATTTGAATGCTAATTTTACTTCAAACCGAAATTTACAGGAGCTTGGTGGTCTCACATTGAGCAATGGACGTAATCCTATCGATCGGTACGATGGGGAAATCACGTTTTTGGGCCGATTGATGGATGCGCTGCCCATTGATCCTCACCTGTCGCGGTTAGTGGCAATGGGAATAATTCTGGGTGTCCTCGACGATTGCCTGCGGTTGGCAGCCTTGCTGTCCGTTGAGACCGTCTTCACAAATCGGTTTAAAGCTGATGTGCAGCGGTATTACGCCAGGCTATGGTGGGCGGATGGGTCTTTTTCTGACCTTCATGCCATGCTGAGATTGTATGAGGTGTGTCACTTTTGTCTTCTCGCTTTCACATTTTGCGGGGGATTTTTGAAGCTCGTACACTGTGCATTGACGACGAAAGGGTGCTTAAAATCAGTCTCTTAAGTTTTTTTTTTTAAATTAAATTTAAGATGAAACGCATGCTCCATTTCGACAAAATTTGATCATGAAAATGGAGATGGAATTTTGAAAGAGTCATTTTGGGGAAGAGCATTTCACAATCGTGAAATCGTCGTTATTCACCCTGAGGGATTCTTCCTAGATTCCATAAGATTCTTCCGTACCGTAGTGTAGATTCCATTCGCGCTCTGAAGGAATCCGGCAAAAGATGACACTTGGGATGATTGTTTAAATTTAAGCTGAAAATTTTCATCGCTTCTTCTCGCATCTACGGTACTCGCATACAAATAATTCTTCATGGTGATGAACAAAATATAAGAATTAATTGGTTGTTTCTCGATATTTTTTTTCACATCAAGGTCTTGGACATCTGAAGCATAATGAGGTGTTCGTAATTGTCCGCGATTCAAGAGACATTCTGTCCTCTGTAACAATTCGTCAAGCTTATTTATTTAATTTTTTCTCTCAGAAATTCTGTCTGGCCGATGATCCAAAAGTGTTCTGCGAAGAATCTGATCTGGATTTCAAAACCATGAGGGAAGTTGTTTCGAAGCATGCTGATTTGTCAACGGCAATGGAACTAAGTTTTCCCATCATTTCGGAAACCACGGCGGAAATTAATATGTCAGACGAGGAGAAGGACTTATTGCTCAAGATTGCTTGTTTTGGGGCTTTTTATCCGAACTACTTTTCATCTGAGACTTTGAAAACGGAGAGTGAGATCAATCGAGCACTGAAGACTGATTCTGATCCCAGGAAAACAGTCGTACTCTCCGGCCTGCCTATAAACTCCAGGGTTTCGTATGCTGATCAGGTATGTAGACCCGTATTCAATGTAACATTTTTGTATTTCCCTAAACTAAATTCCGTTGCATTGTTGAAATTCATATATTTTTCTGATTTTTTAATGTTTGATTTTTGGATGTACAGTACTGTAATTGAAATTGTGCTGATGGTGAACTTATAGTTGGGACTGATTTTCAAACAAATATTATTGAAGCCACAAAAGTATGCATCTGAATTTACACTCAAAATCCACGCCAATTTTTTTTAATAGCGTTCATTTCATAATTATATGTCATGAAAATATTTCTATGATCAATTGGAAATAATCTACCCGTGCAATGAATTACCCGAGAAGGGGAGTTTGTGAAAATGGAATTTCGTAAAGCACTGGTTTTTGCGAACCAAGAAAAGACCAAAGAAGAGTTGCTCAAATCTGCTGCCTTCTGTAAAATTCAAAATGGTATCGGTCCGTCGAGTGAGCCACAATTACATTTCGATTTTACATTTTTTTGATGAATCGTAATTTTTCGGAAATAATGAATTTTTTCCCTCTCAAAACTGATTGAAAGTCTGATCTGAAGGGTCTGATCCCTGGGTAAGTAATGCTTAGTGTGTTGGAAAGTCCTTTTCGAGTGTACATTTATTTATTTTTTGCTAATTTGTGTTTGTTGACTCGAAATGGCCTTAATAATCGTACTAAATGACGTGAAAATGAAGCGCAAAATTAATTTTTTCTCCGATTCAGAATTGCAATTTTCAAGAATCCACTTTACTG